TCATTTTCGATAAATAAAATGGAAAGATTGGTTAGTTGATAACCTAAATAATAGATTAACTTGAGTTTTGAAAAGTTTCCTTCAGATGAAACTTAATAGTAAAAAAATCTTAGACACAGCGCTAGATTTAGAACAGATTCAGAATAACCCAATTTTACGAGAAAAACTAAAATGAATAACATTGAACCATTTATTGGGAAGAAATGCTGGCAGCTTTCAAGTAGTAAAATCACCAAAATCCTGCAGAAAAATCATTGTAGATTTCTGTCAGATTTTGAACTATTACACCATTCCTTGCTCCAACCATTGCTCTGTAGCGATGGTCCAGTTCCTCGTAAAATGTGTCAAGACATTCTAACATAGCTCTCTGCAGCTCCTCTGGCAATGTTAATCCAGCATAAAAGTAAAAAAAGTAAAGTTGAAGCCTATTTACGTCCCACTGCTGGGCACAGGCCTCCTCTCATTTCTGAGAGGGTTTTAGGGCAAGGAAATATCCGCCGCGCTGTCCCAATGCGTGTTGGCGAACTTCAGGTCTTCGAAATATTTTTTTTTCTTATTTCTCAGACATGCAGGTTTCCTCATGATGTTTTCCTTCACCGTCGAGCACGTGGTAAATCAGCACTTAAAATTGCAATTAACAATTTCATTGGTGTCGGCGGGGATCGAACCCGGGTTGCTCGAGTACTGTGAAGCTTACAGTGAGTGCTAACCATCTGAACTACCAGTCCAGCATATCGGGTAAACGTTTTCGATATCTCTTCATTCCTCTTCTTCCTTCAATCGAAATGTCCACATTCTCACATTTTTTGTTACGTAGAAAATAGCTTTTTCCACTAGTTGAATACGTTGGCTTTGAAGAAAAAATTTTGGGCTTTGATTTTTATCTCATACTTTTCCAGTGATAATCTAGATTATTATTATGTTATTTAGTATTTGCTTTTGTGTCTGACTAACTTTTTTTAGGATTTTACACCAAAAGGAAAGATAGTATAAAAAACTGAAGTCACACGAAGCTGATAAGACTGTAGATACTGCTTCTTTTGTATCGACGTTTTCTCTGTTGGTGGGGAATTATCTTCGAGTGTTTATACTATTTTTTTTAAATTATTCTGCAGTGGTTTAACAGCGTCATGATGAGCAATTCATCTTGTCTTTGAGAGTCTTGACGGATACGCCTACACTTTTTATTAAAGTTTCCCATTGACGTGTGGATGATGAAAAGAACATGTAAACTCTTTCTACTGTTCCGAAAAATTTAAACTTGAATTTACGCTGTCTAAGTGAGTGACCCACATAGATTTAGCGATTAATTAGCACAAAACTATATAAGTAGTATAGTTGTAGCACAAATGGGTCAGCTCGACCAGGGAAGGATCACACACTCACAGAATACCAGTGTAAAACAGCAGCGCAACACTAATGTATTTCGTATGGTGAGTGTAGAGAACAGGAGATCCTTTTTACTGGAAAAGAGGCATTCCATATTCGTCCTCACGGGTGACAACGCATCTGCATTTTGATTCACAAACGAGGATAGATATAGATGTCTATGGGCCACAGCAGCCACTTACCATCCGGTGGACTGTGTACTCGTTTGTCACCCTATTCTATATAAAAAAAAAACAATATATTTATTCATTTGACAACTTCAAATTTTAAAATAGTGTTGTCATCTATAGCGTAAAATGCACCTCCTAGTTTTTAGGGACAAACATTCGTGTAACAGAAACAGAAACTTTTTTATTCAATATAGATTATAAATAATACTTATTGAAATTAATTACCACTGGTTCGAAACAAATACCTCTGTCCTGGGAAAAACCAGCAAGAAACCCAGCAGGATTTTTTTAAAATAACAGCTTACAATCAATCAAAATCAAACAATCAAATTCAAAGTTACACAAATTAACAACACGACAAATTAAAAATAGCTTGGTAGCGATCACCTCATTTCCAGGGGTTATTTATTATCATCCATAAATTCTTTAATATTATAATAACCCTTTTTATATAAACTTAGTTTATTAAAGTTTTTGAACTTTAAGCAGGTCAAATTTTGTATATTTCCTGGAATTTTGTTGTAAGTGCGTATACATCGCCCCAAGAATGAATTACTGACTCGGTGGAGTCGAGTAACTGGTACTACTAGCTTGTGTCTGTTGCTAGTATTTACAGAATGAATATCACTTATTTTTGTGAAAACACTTTTATTTTTGTGTACGTACATTACATTTTCATAAATGTATTAAGAGGCCAAAGTGAACATATTAATTTCTTTAAATTTTTGTCGCAGTGACTCTTTAGGCTTTAAATCACAAATTGCTCTTATGGCTCTCTTCTGTAAAACAAATATAATTTCAGTGGCAGCTGCGTGTCCTCATAGCAAAATACCATACGATATTATGCTATGGAAATAGCTACAGCAAACTAGTCTAGCTGTTTTAACACTGGTAAGACTTCGAAACTTTTTTACAGCATTTGCTGCAGAGCTAAGTCTGCTTATAATTAATAGAATCAGGCGTTACTTTGCGGTAGAGTCTACATCACCTGAGGATGCCTCGTGTAGAGGTGAAACAGGTGTCGTATTGTCGTCAGTGGTGTGTCTTTCCTAGTGTAGTGGTGTTGGGAGTAGTGGTGCTGGGATTAGTGGTGACGGGGATAGTGCACGCAATTGAGGGAGGGCGGGAGATGCTCTTCACACTAGGTAAGACACATCATTTTATTTTATAGAGCGGATGTTTGCGAAGTAACTTTTTAAAACCTTTTACTAAGTCCGCTTGCTAATTTTGGTATATGGGGGCTCCATTGAAGCTTGGCATCTAATGTGATTCCAAGAAAAATGGTGGTATCTACAAGACTCAGTTTCTCTCCATTTAAAATTACATTAGTATTTAATTGTTTGACATTTGGAGTCATAAATTTCATACATTAAAGTGTTTAGTGGTTTTTTTTCGTGTTACTTAATAATAAGCTTAATTAAAATACAATATGGAATGTACCAACTATGGTTAGCGATAAAAAATATAAGATTATCGTTCTAGCATACGTCTATAATATTACTTTAAGTCAATAACTGTCTAAACGTTGGTAATGTTTTTATCTTGTGTAAACACTTATCGATGTTAGAAGGGGATAAAATACCAAACTCGGTGCCTATCTTTCTAAGAAAAATGAGGAACGGTTACAATGTTCTAAGCGCTCACTCCCTATATTATATTATAACCTCCTTGGATCAGTCAAACAAAATGACAATTCTACTATATCTAAGGTGTTAACCCTTTTTGGGAGACAGTAAGTTAATTAGATTTTTGTGTTTGATTTAATAAACTTGGTTTTATAAATTCATACCTGTATTTTATTGATCTGCCAAAACCTGTCTACCTATATTTACTAAATACTTATTAATGTATAGGCTTCAATAATGGCAAAATCTGATGGCAAAGCATCGAAATCTGATGGCAAAACATCGAAATCTGATGGCGTAGTATCGAAATCTGATGGCGAAGTATCGAAATCTGATGGCGAAGTATCGAAATCTGATGGCGAAGCATCGAAATCTGATGGCGAAGTATCGAAATCTGATGGCAAAGCATCGAAATCTGATGGCGAAGCATCGAAATCTGATGGCGAAGTATCGAAATCTGATGGCAAAGCATCGAAATCTGATGGCGAAGTATCGAAATCTGATTGCGAAGTATCGAAATCTGATGGCAAAGTATCGAAATCTGATTGCGAAGCATCGAAATCTGATTGCGAAGCATCGAAATCTGATGGCGAAGCATCGAAATCTGATGGCAAAGTATCGAAATCTGATGGCGAAATATCGAAATCTGATGGCGAAGTATCGAAATCTGATGGCGAAGTATCGAAATCTGATGGCGAAGTATCGAAATCTGATGGCGAAGTATCGAAAGTGGATGGTGAAGGAAAGAAAGCGGATGGCACACACATGGTGTTGTAAACATTGTTTAGCACTGTAATTGGAAGCATGAGCCACACACTGCTTCGACGATTGTAGCAGCATTGTTTTTAGCAGGAATATTGCAGCACATTCCCTATTTTATTTCCCCTTGCCGCTTCTTACGACACCTACGCGATGATAATGAAGCAGTGGATTCTCTTACCCCTCTACTACACGGTGTAACATAGGATATAGACTGTTAGAATAGCGGCGTAAGAATATCCACAACGATATATTGTCCTATGGATGTCTTAATTGGCGACAGAGGGAAACTGAAACAGGAGATTGGCAGCAGCATCTTCCTGACAACAACACAAAGTAATAAAAAACTGCGGTTGCCAACCCGCCCGCCAAGCGTGGCAACAATGAGCAAATCCTCCCTATAGGACCTATGTTCAGCAAGAAATTTTATAGGCTTTAAGTATGGATGACTGGATAAGACTTTATCCAGGTAACGGAGGACTAGTACGCTTTGTACTAGTCCTCCGTTACCTGGGTATGTCGATTTCCTATATATATATACTCAGACGTTGCTATTTCTGGCTATAGCGGTTTCCATTATGACGGTGTGTCAAGGATAGTCAAATGTTGGCACGGATTCCCACCTCCGATGGCTAATTGTTATCTGGTAACTTAGAATTAATTTTTAGGGTTCCGTACCTAAAAAAGAAAAAAATAGACAAGTCCTCCCGGTAGAGTAATTGTGTTCTGTGCACAAGTCTATTGATAAACATACCTACGTCTTGTTGTGTGTTGTCATTATTTTATTAAAAAGCTTTAGGATTTATTTATTTCTTAAACTTCTTGACACATTTTAAAGAAGCTTGAAGCTAAAAAAATAAAAGACAATGAAGTAGTCAACACTTGTCAGAAGTTTTCAATTGCATTGGTTTGCTTGCTTTGCTAACAAAAACTTTATATCAATAAACGCGTAAAAAACGTATTGTTAAATAAAATTCTGTTCTAAAATATAAAGCGTAATTTGCTTACTAAACGGATACTGTACCTAATAATAAAATATCAACAGTATCAAAATTTAATGGATTATGAATCGGAGGACGAGTCCTGTTTTCGTAATGTGTTCCGTTCGTTTGTGTGCGTTGCGCTCACACTGCTTTTGGGGCTTCACGTGTACGCTTATCTTTGGGGCACGCAGGACTCAATAGAAGGGGACTTTGGAGATATCAAATACGTCGTTATGCAACTTACACATAGTCTTTCTGAGGTGATTTGCATAAACATGTTTTATTTTCGCACATAGCTTGTACCTATCTGATTAGTTTACAAATGATTGTTGGATATTTGTTGACGTAAAATGTCTCCGCAATGCAGGAGAACATCGTAATGTGGGAGTAAAGTTTAAAAACAAATGAAAATATTGTTATAGTGTCCAACAGTAGCAGAATAAAAACTCAAAAATGGACATGGAATATCTAATGGCTCCAGTATACGTTGGCCGAGCGCGCTTGGCGAGCGAACACTTTGACTACCTCTATTTCCTTCAACTATCCTTCAGTAGGCCTGCTGGAAGAATTTCATCATGGAATAGGCAGTGCCTTTGTACATAATTATGTTTTTACCATTTTCCTATCGAATTATGTGTGTACATAAACTGTTAAATAAAGAAATAAATATTTCCTCATTAGTCCATGTCATGTTGAAACAATTTTATTATAAGCCGACACTACAGTCTACTTCGATGCATAACTATGAACTGAAAACTCGCCCAACAAGCCGCAAACAGCGATCACCGCTGTTTGCGGCTTGCGCCAAATTTCACTATACGGCTTGTGGGCGAGTGGTGGCCGCAAACGCCAAATACACACAAAACGGCCCAGTACACGTTGGCCGAACGCACTCGGCGAGCGCGCTCGGCCAACGTGTACTGGAGCCATTAAACTAGTTTCCCAACTAAGTTTAGTTTGTAATAGTTTTTTCTTATAATAGATAAAAAATCCAAAAAATAGATAACTTTGTTATGGAATAAGGATAAGGGTGACAAACGAGCACACAGTCAGTACGGCTGATGGTAAGTGGATGCTGTAACCCATAGACATCTACACCTATCCTCAAACAAGAATCAAAATGCACATGCATTGCACCCCTGAGGATAAGATGGAATGCCTCGTTTTCAGTAAAAGAGGTCTCCGATTCTCTACACTCACCATGCGAAACATCATCATTGAGTTGTTATTATACGCTGGTATTATGTGAGAGCGTGGTCCTACCTCCTACTATAATATAGCTGCAGCGTGGCTCTCCCACGTAAGATACAAATATTACATATAATTGTCAACTTGTTGGTAACTGGCTACCGCAGCTTTGGATTTGGAGACTTGCAACTAACTTTATACAAAGAGCACACAGATGATTTGTCACCTCTGAGAATTAGGAGGAAGTACTCTACTAAAAAAAAAAAACTCCAATTGGCTCTCTTAATCTTTAAACTGAAATACAGCAGTACGTGCACTGCAGCTTTGCGGCAGACATTGACAGACATTGACATAACAGGGTAACCTAGCAATACTGTGCACTCAACCTTTATTATCGGAACTCATCATTGCATAGCGAACCCGAGCAGACAAGCCCTCACAAGCAGCATCTGTTCGCAAATATAAAGAATGTGGCAACCATCGCCTATTAGTAAAAGTGTGTGATCACTTTTCTATCTAAAAATGCTTTTTAGAAAAAAATATCAAATATGAGAAAAATATAATCAAATCTTCGACATAATTTGCGTTGTCAACGTAAAATTTATTTTAAAAATAGCTATTCCAGAAGCATGTTCAGTATAATTAGTAAAATAAAATTCTTTTAAATATATACCTTCACCTTAAAAAAAATACCAGTCATTATTTTTAATTGAAGATGAACCGTGAGCACGAGCGCATCCGCAGCGAACTGGAGCGAATGTCGTCTGCATTGCCGGCGGCAGCAGCAGCTTCGGGGCGAGTTAAGGATGCCCTCGAGACCTCGCGTCACAACCCACGTCAAGCGTTAGATACACGGGACTATGACCGACAGGTAATGGGAGCAATAATTTTGCTTCTTAGAATATTTAAATACCCACTACAAATATAATATAGCTGCATCGTGACTCTACCACGTATAAAAATATAATATTATTAGCTTAGATAATTACAAGTTTAAGAATTGCGATCGCTTTTAGTGTTACCAAGTAGTCTTACGTACTGGTAAAACTACTGGGAATTTTGTTCATAGTAGTCATACCGGTAAGCTTACTGAGAAATTTTCTTCCCGATCGTCTTACCAAATAGTTTTTGTCAAAATTATACATTTCTTGTAAACGTTTTTTGGCCTAATGTGACTGATGTTTGCTTTGTTTCTGATTATAGTTGTAATAGTAGAAGGCGACCATTTTTTTATAGAATAAGGGTGACAAACGAGCACACAGTCCACCTGATGGCAAGTGGACGCTGTAGCTCATAGACATCTATCTAGATTTATCTTCAATTAAAAATCAAAATGCACAGATACTACGTCAGCCGTGAGGACTAAGATGAAATGCCTCGTTTCCAGTAAAAAGGATCTCCGGCTCTCTACTCTCACCATACGAAACACAGCAGCATTAAGGTGCTGTTTTACGCTGGTATTCTGTGAGAGCGTGGTCCTTCCCCGGTCGAGCCGACCAAAGCATAAAGATGAAAGAGGCAATGGGATAGTTCTAATATGTATATTATATTAGTGTAGGTAGTATTAGTATGTTATTTTGTACAGAAACAGAACAGAACAGAAACTTTTTTACTAAATATAGATTATAAATGATATTTATTGAAAGTCTCTCTTTTGTTTAATTACCACTGGTTCGAAAAAACCTCTGTCCTGGGAAGAACCAGCAAGAAACCCAACGGGACTTTTTTTTAAAATAACAGCTTACAATCATGTTACACAAATTTTTTGTTTTTGTTTTTAATTTTACAAACGGCTGCGTAAGTCCAGCGGTGATTGGGCGCATGTTTTATCGCATGATGCAGTCGCTCGCTCCTTAGGTAGAGAGCGGTTGCATCATCGGTCTAAAAGGCACTTGTTTTGGCTCGCCGATCACTTAGCGGTTAGCCACCGTAGAGTCTATATCACCTGAGGATGCCTCGTGTAGAGGCGAAACACGTGTCGTATTATCGTCAGTGGTGTGTCTTGCCTAGTGTAGTGGTGTTGGGAGTACGGTGCTGGGATTAGTGGTGACGGGGATAGTGCACGCAATTGAGGGAGGGCGGGAGATGCTCTTCATACTAGGTAAGACACATCATTTTATTTTATAACGCGGATATTTGAGAAGTAAATTTTTCTAAAAGCTTTTAAATTAGAAATAGCTTAGTAGCGATCACCTCATTTCCAGGAGTTATTATCATCCATAAATTCTTTAATATTATAATAACCCTTTTTATACAAACTTAGTTTAATAAAGTTTTTGAACTTTGAGCAGGTCAAATTTTGTATATTTTCTGGAATTTTGTTGTAAAAGCGTATACATCGCCCCAAGAATGAATTACTGACTCGGTGGAGTCGAGTAACTGGTACTACTAGCTTGTGTCTGTTCCTAGTATTTACAGAATGAATATCACTTATTTTTGTAAAACTACTTTTATTTTTGTGTACGTACATTTACATTTTTATAAATGTATTGAGAGGTCAAAGTTAATATATTAATTTCCTTAAATTTTTGTCGCAGCGACTCTTTAGGCTTTAAATCATAAATTGCTCTCATGGCCCTCTTCTGTAAAACAAATATAATTTCAGTGTCAGCTGCGTGTCCCCATAGCAAAATACCATACGACATTATGCTATGGAAATAGCTAAAGTAAACTAGTCTAGCTGTTTCAACATTGGTAAGACTTCTAATCTTTTTTACAGCATATGCTGCAGAACTAAGTCTGCTTTTTAGTTTCGATATATGGGGGCTCCAAAGAAGCTTCGCGCCTAGTGTGATTCCAAGAAAAATGGTGGTATCTACAAGACTCAGTTTCTCCCCATTTAAAATTACATTAGTATTAAATTGTTTGACATTTGGAGTCATGAATTTCATACATTTCGTTTTAGTGCCATTTAAATGCAAATTATTAACATTGAACCAATTTACTAATTTAGATATAGCATTATTTACTTCGTCATATTTTAGTAATTGTCGACTTAATTTGAAAATTAAAGAAGTGTTATCTGCAAATAATACTATATCATGGTTATCCTCTACTATGTAAGGTAAGTCATTAATGTATACAAGAAACAGAAACACACTATACACTAATACTACCTAATTAATACGACTTCTGTTTGCCTAATATTTCTGAGACAAAAATATATAAATAGAGAGTTCACCTGTGCTAGCGCAAACAATTGGGCTATGCAATTCTGTCCTGCGCAAATGGCTAGTCTCCATTGAAACTGGCCACCGTGACCGAAATTCCGTCTGGTGAACTATGCCACTGCCTCTTTCACGTTTATGCTCGCCTAGTACTATTCCTACTAATAATTTTAAAAAAATGTTAAATTACGCCACAATTCGTTTACATGAAATACATAATTTTGACAAAAATATACTGAAGTATGTAATTATGAAAACTTTCATTAATTTTTTTTTATATAGGATAAGAGTGACAAGCGATAACACAGCCCACCTGATGGTAAGTGGTATCTGTGGCCCATAGACATCTACATCTATCCTCGTATGTGGATCAAAATGCAGATGCTGTGTCAACCGTGAGGATTAAGATGGAATGCCTCTTTTCCAGTAAAAAGGGTCTCCGGTTCTCTACATTACATCTCAATTGAGTAGGACTACTGATAATTTTCTTCCTCAGTGGATAGAGTTTGCACGTTACGCAATTAATATAAAATTCATTTTAATATGTACAATTTCGTTACAAAAATTCGCTTTCATTCCATTACGCCGCAACGTAAATTGAGACTTACCAGTTAGGTCTACTTGGTAAGATATCGCAGTAATCTTACTTGTAAGACTATTTGGTAGGACTATTGGGAAGAAAATTCCCAGTAGTCTTACTAGTACTGCATTTTGATTCGCAAACGAGGATAGATGTAGATGTCTATGGGCCACAGCAACCACTTAACATCAGGTGTACTGTGTGCTCGTTTGTCACCCTATCCTATAAAAAAAAATACTTGGTAAGACTATTGGGAATATCCCGTCATTGTGGGTAATATGTTAAAAAACTTTAAACAAATTTCGATTAAAAATAATCAATATTAAAACAGATAGCAGATTATGCACTCGAGTCTGCTGGTGCCCGAATTTTGGACACTGGCGATACCCAGGAATACGTGATCCATGATTCGTCAGTGGGCTGGGTACTCCATATTGTGAGTGCTTTGCTGTGTCGTGAATGTCCCGGGGCCTCTGCAATTCTTCGCCCTGGAGCACTACCTGGTGAATGTTGGGCTTTTAAAGGCTCCCGCGGAGAAGCGACCATACGACTATTGGGAACGGTTCACATTACTGGCGTCAGTGTTGAGCATATTCCGCCACATATTTCATCAACGAAGTAAGTTTTCACTATGCATCGTACTCATATATCTACATATATTTTATAAGCATAAATCCAATTAATTTGTTTCATTGCGATTAGTAACCGAATGAAATATTAATCTCAGGTATTGCAGTGATTAACACTTTTTTTTAACAGGGAAGTATCAAACAAGCAAAGAGTCTGCCTGATGTCAAGTAGGTACTCAAGGTCATTGACGCCTACAAATAAAAGGAGACTAGTTGCTTTGTCACCCTGGAGGTCTAAAGTGGAATCTTTCACAGTCTGCACTATGCTGGCTTTCATACAACACTGGTTGTTACTGTTGTTTGGCGACCGAAATAAAAGGAGCCGCACTATCATTAAAATTCTTCTGATCTGATCAAAATTATTTATATTTTGGACAAAGGTCGTTGCTCCCTTCTGCCAAATATTCATGTAAATGCTCATATTATTATATTCTTATTAAGTGCCGTTATTTTTAATTCTCATTTATTTTTATGCGTATAAATATTTCATAACGTGAGTTAGAAATATATTTATAATATTACAGAGAAATCTCATCGGCACCACGTCGATTTCAACTGGAGGGTTTGGAAAGCCGTTCTGACCTCTACCCACATGACTTCGGAACCTTTGAATATGACAAAGAAGGCAAGCCTATACAATATTTTGAAGTAAAGCATCCGGCAACCACAGGCTTCAATATCGTGAGATTTAAAGTATATTCCAACTGGGGACATCCTTTTTACACTTGCGTGTATAGAGTTAGGATACACGGGGAATTAGCACCAGGGCAATTACCGCAAAAGTTGGTCACCGATGAAGATAAGACGCCTTTACACTAAAATATACTATACACTAGGAATACTACAATAGTGTAATTCCATTAACTAATAAATAAGTATGACTGCAAGTTCTATAATGTTTTGTAAGGCGAAAATAGACTTGAAAGGCCGAAAAAACATGTTTTAGGCAGTAGTTTAGCTAGCACTATTGGGGGGCCTTGTATCAAAATCAAATTTCAATGTTAAAAAGTAACACAGTTAATACAACGGTAGCAATGCTCTTATGCCCGATACACATGGTCAGTGAAACTGATCAGTTGGACTGATCAGTTTAAGGCTGCGTTCCGACGACACGCACCCGCTACGCGCACGCCACGCGCGTCAGCACCCGCATCTAGCTCGCTTTGAAATTTGTTGCATATAATTTGAGTCTTATGACAAATCAATAAATCTGAAATTGTATAAAAAGTGCGAATGCAAGGCGTAGCGGGGCGGGTGCAGCGCATGTGCGGGGCGAGCGCGGGGCAGGCGCGGATCGGGAACGAGGCGGGCGCGTGGCATGTGCGAAGCGTGTGTGGTTGAACGTCGATAAATGCAATTTCAGATTTATTGATTTGTCATAAGACTCAAATTATATGCAACAAATTTCAAAGCGAGTTAGACGCGGGTGCTGACGCGCGTGGCATGCGCGTAGCGGGTGCGTGTCGTCGGAACGCGGCCTAACCGCTCAGTTAAAACGGATGTACCTAAGCCAAAACAATTATCCAATCACTTGCTTCAAATTTCAACTTAAGATGTCACAGCCGCGGTCAGTTTTTGGATGTTCGTCAGTTCAACTGATCAGTTTAATTGACCGTGTGTGTTGGCCATTAGTTTTACATAAATAAATCGTAAATAAGCTATTTCTACAGTTTTTTAAAAGTACATAATATGTTTTATGATGTTAGGTATTTCTAAAGTTAATCCTTAGACTTTAAAGTAACTTAATTTTATTTATACATATTTGACACCTGACAATGTCGATATTTTTATCATATTCATACTTAAAACGACAAATATCATAACTAAAATCATTGCATGTCTTAACTTTGATGAATGTTTTTGTATTATGCAATATAGCATCCAAGGAAGCTTGAAATTTATTAAACCTTTCTATTTAATTTTCGTACAAATATTTCTATCGCGTATTGTTTTGTGGCTACTTTTTGGAGTGTCCATTCGGATATATATTATATATTTTACCTATTACATTTTTAAGTTTACTTTTATCATATACTATTTGATGTTATCTTTACAATGTTGTTATGTCATATTTTGATCATTGTGATCGTCACTTTACTGTCAGACGTAGTAAATAAATTACGAGTAGGCAAATCATGGTGATAGGAAGTTTTTAGTATATATTATATAGTCTATGATAAATATATTTAATCAAGGCAATCATTTAAAAGTTTACCCAGTGTCCAAACTATGACAGTAAATTCAAGTTCTAAAAAATTTAATTAATTTAATTAATATCGTTGAAGGCCTGGCCTAGCCTCAGAATCGAACCACATGACTTTTGTATGTTATATACAGGGTCATTTTTAATTTACTGAAGACCTTTTGGGAATATATTGGTTACATCATTACAAACAATTTTAGTGAGATCACTCTTCACAGAATATAATACATTTACGAAAAAACTACTTTTAAGGTTTTGTTGTCATGTCTGACTCCTTTTAATTCTGTATTTTGTAGTACCTAAACAATGTCACAATAAATCGTCAAAGAAAATGCCTAAATAAGGCATTTTTACACTTGATACAGTATCAAACATTGTGTTGAAATCATTAAACATAATTAAATGAGCAAATGACATTCAAAAAAAAAACCACAAATATTAAAATTTATAATAAGTAAGAATGACCACCGGGCCGGTCGACGGCCGCGCTCAGCTGATTGCGTTGCGAGTAGGGTTACCAGATGAAAAAATTAAAAGTCCGGAGAAGAGGCCTGATTTCCATTTAAAAATCCTGCGATTGTTTTACAGTTTGAGAAGAAAACCTTACTTAAAAAGGTATCTTCACATATTAAGTATGATAAAACTGTTTAAGTACCTACTTGGATAAATAAGTTTTGATTTTAATTGTGGAATTATTACCAAAGGAAAATTATTTTTAGTTTGATTAACTTTTTATTAAGAGATCTTTTAAAATGTAAGCTGTATTTATTATATTGAAAGTTCTAAAAATCCTGAGATTTCATGAGATTTGCAAAATCCAGCCGCAATCCTAAGAGTCTAAAAATCCTGAGATCTCAGTACAAATCCTGAGATATGGTAACCCTAGTTGCGCGCCACTAAATGACTTTACATTAACTTTTCATATACTTCTTTATTTTGCATAAAACCATTTGATGAACTATTTGATTCTTTTATTAATTTCTTTAAGAATTAATAGACATTCTTTAATAGACATTTAGGTAGTTTTTTTACGAATACTGTTTGCTAGCAACTCTGCCTGCATCCAAGAGGCAACGCTGCAACGTCGCACATGCGGCGGCCCAAGGCCAAGCCAACGATATATTATAACGTCGACACAGGTGTCATCGTCATCAAAGGCGCCGCCTGCCCTTTTCGGTTTGCAGGCATCGATTTGGTGATCGATGTTTGCAGCACGTGCAAATTAAATGAGTATTATTAACTATTTTTTTATTTAATGTAAGTTGTATTTAAAAATGGATGCAGGTTAAAATAATTACAAATATTACAATAAAATATTTATGATTAAATACAAATTAACAGTAATTGAATAAAGATATTAAGGTATAATGGTTCAATAAAAATATTAAAATACAAACGCTAGCAAACGTAGCTCGGTGCACGTGAGTTGGGAAATCGCCTTGAATATTCACGGCAGTCTTCACTAACGTTATCATTGCAAATTGCTAAAATTCGCACCATTTCGGTATACTCAATATTTGAGTATCGGTATGCCATTGTAACAACGCGTAACGTTCGCGATATTAATCTCACAACGGAAGGAGAAAAGTCGCGGGCGCACAAAAGGCGACTGACCGACTGACGACACAGATAATTAGGTCAAGTTCAAATGAGCAAGCGCCGCCTCCTACACACCTCCACCCCTACCCTGCCACGCGCTTTATTTTGCTATTTAGGACTATTGCCGTTTAGAAGGTCCAATTAAAATATTTTTATTTTTGTATGAAAATAAAAATTGAAGAAATATAATTTCTTTTCTTACAGATGTTGTTGTTATGATGTAAATAATATATTCCCAAAAGGTCTTCAGTGAATTAAAAATTACCCTGTATAGTAACATATATAATAACTATTGTGCTCTAACCGATATTGGTACTTATGCCAAGTTTTTAATTGTAATTTTAGTGTTTAGTTTATTATTACCTGAACCTAAATATATGTAATATTAGGTTTAAATTTTTATTTATAAATGTGTAAAGTTTAATTATTTCCAATAATAAATATAGTTATAATTTAATAAGAATTTTATTCACCTTCTAGCTGATGTTAAATTTCGATGCCATGTGTTTATGAAACTTAGTAGTCTGGACAACGGCAGGGTGTCCAATGTAATAGGAACCCTTGAATGCCTGACTTTCAAATTTCATAAATAAACTTATAAAAGCTTTTGCGTTATTAAGGTCTAAAAATGCAATTCTTATCACTCACTTAATCACCAATGCACTGACTCACTCATTAAAAGCCTAGGCCGCTTTTCGGTGATTTAAACAGTGGAGCATAAACACAAATGAAAAACGTTGGAGGTAATTTATTTATTTATTAGATTAATAAAAGGATAAAACTATTTTCACATTTAGTTTTAGTGGTTGGTTAAATTATAACTATATACAATATAAAATACCTAGTAAATAAAACTAAAGTTACAGCATAATATATAGGTACGTCCCAATGCTGGGCACAGGCCTCCTCTCGTTTACTGAGAAAGTTATGGAGTAAATAGTTCGCCACGCTGCTGCTTCAATGCGTGTTGAATTTCACATTATATCATGCATGTTTTCCTTCACCGCTGAGTATGTGATTAATAAGCAATTATGCTGGCGTATGTGGACTATGAGAAAGCCTTTGATTCCGTCGAAATTTGGGCGGTGCTGCAGTCCCTTCAGCGGTGCCAAGTTGACTGTCATCGGTATATCGAAGTGCTGAAGTGCTTGTACAGTAGGGCTACGATGGCTATCCGAGTACAGAATCAGAGTACGAAACCTATCCAATTGCAGAGAGGTGTAAGACAGGGTGACGTTATATGCCCGAAACTCTTCACCGCTGCATTGGAAGACGTTTTCAAGCTTCTGGACTGGAAAGGATACGGTATTAACATCAATGGCGAAAACATCACTCACCTTCGATTTGCCGACGATATAGTCCTTATGGCAGAATCGCTGGAGGACCTAAGCACTATGCTCAATGACCTCAATAGTGTCTCCCAACGGATAGGTCTTAAGATGAACATGGACAAAACAAAGATTATGTTTAATGTCCATGTCACACCTATGCCGGTAGTTGTTGGGAGCACTAAGCTCGAAGTTGTTGACGAGTATGTTTACCTGGGACAAATAGTCCGACTAGGTAAGTCCAACTTCGACCGAGAGGTCAATCGACGGATTCAACTCGGCTGGGCAGCGTTCGGGAAGCTACGACACATTTTCTCGTCAGACATACCTCAAAACCTTAAAACGAAATTGTACAACCAGTGCGTGTTGCCAGTCATGACTTACGGATCTGAGACGTGGTCCTTCACTGCTGGCCGTATGAGGAAGCTCAAGGTCGCTCAGCGAGCTATGGTGAGGGCTATGCTCGGAGTTTCTCTGCGTGATAAACTTAGGAATGAGGATATCCGCAGTAGAACCAGAGTAATCGACATAGCCCAACGGATTAGTAAGCTGAAGTGGCAGTGGGCCAGCCATATAGCTCGAAGAACCGACAACCGATGGGGAAGAAAGGTTCTTCAGTGGCAGCCTCGTACCGGTAGGCGAAGTGTAGGGCGACCCCCCACGAGATGGAGTGACGACATAGTAAGACA